TTATGAGTCAGATTTTCCATGAGTTATTACCGATTACCAAAAAAAGAAGGAAAAGAAAACAGAAGATAAGAAAAACAAAAAACAAAAACAAACCAGGGGATTGTGCATTTATTCTGTTGACTTCTTTAACCTTCTTTTTGACATAGATTTGATTCACTGATATAATTATGCTGTCACAACTTTGTGGTGTGTTCAGATATATTGCGGGCAGTGACAGGCTGCAGATTATGAATGTCAACCTTAGCGACCAGGGAATGTACACATGCATCGCTAAAACAAGCTTGGATGAGGACAATGCCACAGTGGTACTAACAGTCCTAGGTAAGATTCTGTGACCTGTTCACTGTCATGGAAAAATTCTATAAAATGATTACTTTATCGTTAAATTGACTGCTCTCTTTTCTGCATAATGTGCTTTCTTTTCCACAGAGGTTCCTGATGCTCCAAAGAGCTTGAAGATATCTGAAAATAAGGATGAGAGGAACATTGTGCTGGTTTGGATACCTGGGAGTGATCACAACAGCTCTGTTAAAGGTAAATGTAATAGAACAAAACAGAAAAGGATTAAATCAATGTGGGAAAAATGGATATGGGTTATTGGTTTAGCGGTGCTAAACCTTTTGTAAAATAAAAACTTTTAACAAGACATCCCTGCAGTTGCTTCACCTGCTAGTTTAAAGACTGTTAAGATGTAACTACTGGTTAATTAAGGCATAATTACTGTACTGCGTGTTTGGAGTTCAGGTATCTGCAAATATGTAAATTGTTATAAAAAAACATTAGTTTTCTTACTCATTTTAAATTGAAACAGTATTTTGTGATGATATTGCAAAATTATTTTGAACAACAAATCTTGCCATTGATATCCTACTGCAGAACTGATATTTGATAGTATGCAAACAGATAGTTGTGATGTTAGAAATGGTAAGAACTCTGTGAAAAAACTCTTTTAGCACAGATTGTTGATTAAAGTTTTTCTTTATTTCCTACAAATAATACAAACACAAATCAAATTATTCTCGAAAGTCCTTCTGTGAAAGGAAGATTGCTCAGATTTTACCCTCATGATCAATAAGGAATTCTAATATTCTTCAGCAGAGAAAGGCTGCAAATAACAGATAAGAGCTGAGAAGCCTTCAGTTTTGTTTCAATTAAAAACTAATTTACCTTTTGAACGTACTTTGATGATAGCAATTTACGCTGACAAATGTTACATGTACTCTTTTTATCATGAGTTTGTTTAAGAACCACCAATTAGCCACAACTTTCAAACCCCTTGGAGTGACACATCCCAAGTGAAATGTTCCAAAAGTGCGTTGTGTGGCATTCACATAAATGTGACTCTGACATTTAAAGCCTATTTAACGCCTTAATGTGTTAACAGACATTTGGACTCTGACATCCCCCAATATCCTCTCCCAAAAAAAAAAAAAAAACATTTTGAAGGGCTTAATTTTCTACTATTGTTTTTGATAGAAAAGGTATTGTGTGCAGCCTTGAGTTTTAATAAACGTGAAGAATACGCCACAGTTTTCTTACAATTTGAATCTTTCCTTGCCATCACACATTCACACTGTCCAAGAAATGCCTACTGCAACCGTGGTTTAAATGTTAAATGAATGAGACACAAGATAACTTTTTATGTGCATTTAATTGCACCACTAATTATTTACTTCTTGTAGTTCACTATGAACTAATTACACAAGTAAAGAGAAAGCTCACTGAAAGCTTCTTCTCACTGGCAGCACCTGCCTTTTCTTATGCATTTCTGTACCTCTTGTTCCATAGCCTCCACCTATTACAAGGTGTGATACCATTAGTAGCCACACTTACCTCAGAGCCAAAGGTAGCGGACATCCTTATAAAAACTATTCCATAGTTCTATTGTTTGTAAAAAAAAAAAAAATCTCCAGAATAGTCTTAACTTTTGATATGAAATTAGTAATATCCAAGCAAAAACATACTGAGACCAAGATGGAAAACGCAATAAAACGGTTGTATATTGGATGATTCTAGAAAGGGTGATATGCTATAATTTTCAGCAAACTGAGTGGAGAGTCTTGTCTCGGATTTTTACCAACTGATATGTTAGTGGCATCAACAGTATCATATAAA